TCCAAGCCATGAGCTGCTAGCTTCCCAAGGAGAATGCTATGCCTCTGTCTTGACGTTGATGAATAGAAAAAGAGGTGGGAAGGAGGAAGATTCCAGTAAGAGCCAAGAAGGAGGCATAGGTCAAATTCTGGTGTATCAACCAATTTAAAATACAAAATAACAGACATGAGCCTTATCTGGGATTCACAAATTTAAAGGACTGCCAGTGGTATATGCAAGATCTCATTTATACCTCCATGTGCAGTACCCATTAAACCATGGACGATTCTTTTCCCAGAGCCAGCTTTCCACCACTTTCACCAGCTCTTAGTACACTGGAGCAAATTCAGTGCCAGAACTTACGATGCTGAGCCCTATAGTAGTCACCTGTCTGCACAGGGTATTTCCTAGCCAATGGTCTTCAAGACCTCAGTGCTTCAATGAAGGTGCCAACTCTATCTTTTAGCTTTAGTAGAAGAGCATTTTGCATTTTGTGTGTGACAAGGACTCTTCTTCCACTCATCTCCATGGGAATCACACTAGGAGATTCCAAGGCCACTCCTCTGGTATCCTCCTCTGTATCCATTAAACCAGTGCCTGTGGACATGGTCATTACTGAGCATGCAGTGTGGAATCTGTACTACCAGTATGTGTTGTAGTGTAGCAAAGAGAGCTTTGGCAATGTTAGAATGCAGGTAACTTAGTTACCTTTTTCTTTTTGATGCACAATTGCTGACACTACTCAGTTTAGACAACAAAAGATGTATTACAAATGTTTGACTGTTTATCTTTAAAAATCTGAGAGTTTTTAAGGAAATAAAAGTTTAAATGTGAGATAATCAAGGCTGTGTAAGTGATGCCTGATGAAAGTCCATTAATTGCCCTGATGAAAGTCTATTAATTTTAAAACTTCATTGCCTTAAAATGTTTCTTTATATGCTAGCTTTAATTTTCTCTTTTTCCTCAAAAAAAAAAAAAAATCTGATCAGTGTTGTGCACAACATAACTTGCGATTTCACTTGCTGTTTTATTTCAAACTGTAGGGGGAAAAAAAAAATCTCATTTGTGACTTTCCCAACTTCCAGCTTCTAAAATAAAGGAATTCTGTTCCTGTCTGTACCATTGATTTTGAAAGATTCATTTGAATTTGCTTTTCACTGCGAAAAACAAAACAAAACACACCTTTTCTGTGTAGTCAAGCAAAGGTGGTTTAGTTTTGATGCTCAGATGAATCCATGTTAGTTACACATTTCTGTTATTACTAAATTTCTTTTGTCTTTTTCAAAGGCTGCAGGAAATGCTGTCAAGCGAGCATCAGACAATCTTGTCAGGGCAGCCCAAAAAGCAGCATTTGGGAAAGCAGAGGATGACGACGTTGTGGTCAAAACAAAGTTTGTGGGTGGCATTGCTCAGGTTGGTACAATCACCCAAGAAGTAAAGCAGAGAAAAACTGTCACAGAAATGTAGCATAGTGTTACAATGCCCATCTGCTGCATCGCAGGCTGGACAGATCTATGTAGAAATCTATGATAAATTACTTGGTGCTTCACTGTTAGGTAACCACTGACATAACAGCAAAGTGATATGTTGTAAGATGTCTACACTTCTTCATTGAGCATTTACTGTATTAGCAGTTACCATTGTCCAATATCTTTTATTTTTGTTCTGATGAAGTTAATGGATCTTTTCAAACTTCCCTTATGTACTTTAAATATTCCCAAATCTTAATGGAACACTGGTTTTGTATGTATATAATCAAAGAAATAGAGAATGAGAGATAAGAACTGATGACATTTAGTTACTGTGACCATAATAAATATGGGGAAATAATGACAATATTTAAAAATAGATTCCAAGGCTTTGATGTTGTACCAACTTCTGGATTCACTGTTATGAATAAGGAACACCACATCCTGTGGTCACTACTTAAAAGATATTGAAATTTATCATTTCTGCATGTCTGTAGTACTGTCATTTTTGGCATTTTGAGATGCAGGAAAATGCTATGGATATCTGCAGTAATGAGTGTTTAATTTTACTGTCACTCAAACATTATGTTAAGACATGGTGCTTATCCTACATGTGCTAACCCCTCACCCCGATGAACGTTGGGGGAGGCACAGCACTATAAAATCCATCGTGGATGTATGGTAAAACTCTGCTGCTGGATTCTTTTTTTCTGTTTTTAGTCCTCTTTAAGGAACAAGTGGGAATACGATACTGTCCTTAATGGCATAGTCCTGGAACCTGGAAAAATTTGAGCAATT